CCTGAACAGAATTATAAAGAGCGAACTTGTCCTTTCCTCCCACTGAAACCATATATTGTTTTTTTTTTCACTTTTATTATTCATAATTTATAACTGACGTAATTCTATCCTAATGAAGGAAAGACATAGGACAACAAAAGAAAGAAAACTAAAAACCTTTTTTTGTGATGATAAAGGAAAAATATTACCGTTGTGTTTTTTAAAAAAATATGTTCTTTTAGGTTTTGCCAGATCTACTAAATGCTCTAGTAAAAATCATTCCTGAAGGATGTATGTTACGGTTGGGAATGACGAATCCGCCCTACATACTCGATTTCCTTGAGGTTAATTTTTCTAATATTTTATTTTTATTCATAGCAGAATGAAAAATTTCGATAAATTTTACTTTCAAAATTCAAATATTTTATTGAATTTATTTCAATCTTCTGTCAATTTTAGGAAATTTCGGAAATTTTAAATCATCCAAGGGTTTACTCTTTTCTTCACATACCCGTCCAGTCAGCAAGCGATGCTGTATTATCGGATATGAGACGTGAATACACTTGTGCTGATTTCTGCCGAGTTGTTGATCACATGATGCAGAAGTTAGCGGATTTTAGAAATCCAATTCATGTTTCCAAATTGTTAATGGGAACATTTTTTTTTGTGTCTTGTGAAATGTAGTATAATAGGAAACAAATTTCAAAAAGTTATTGAAATTAAAATTCATTTGTTACTAGAATTTGAGCATATTTATGAGTAAAGTACTTTATTTACAAATGGACTAAAAAGATGGTTCCAATCCACTATTTCATTGTAAGAAAGAAGCATTTTCCAGCGTTCCCAATATCTACATAGCAACAGATTTCATTTGTGCTTATCCAACTGAAACAAAGAGTGATTTCGAAGAGAGTATGGCACTGATACAGAAATACCGTTTCCCTTCATTGTTCATTAATCAGTTTTATCCAAGAATGGGAACCCCAGCCGCAAATTTGAAGAAAATCGACACTGTGGAAGTATGCTTTCTAATTTTCTGAAAACTTTCAAAATTTAAAATTTTCTTTTATGGAAATTTAGTGTTAGGAATATCTTAGCATTATAAAATAGGTAACGGTAAGTCCAAAAGCATAAAATAAACTAGGACTACTTTGGGGATGGCTCTAAATTACTGATAGTCGAAGAAAAAGAGCATCTTTTGGAAGCCTATTTAATGCTATATATTATGCATGATTTCGGTGTTTTAAATAGAAGTGCATTTATTTTTTTTTAAATTCATTTTAAATTTATTCACTAAAGTTAAATGTTGCGACTGTCTTACTGAGCTGAGATTCTCAACATTTATTCATAAAGCTTTCATTTTAACCAAATCTTAATTTATCTCATCTGCAAATCTGTTTATGAACTAAGTTGCTATTAGTATAATCAACCATGATGGTTCGATTATGATTATTTTTCAAAAATTTAAATCAGTTACAAATTAAAAATGAACTATTACTTTTAGGCCCGTCGTCGAACCGCAGAAATGTCAGCTCTTTTCCGGTCTTATTCAAGATATGACAAAGAGCGAATTGGTGAAAGGCATCGAGTTCTTGTTTGTGAATTGGCAACTGATCGACAGCATTATGTAGGCCATAACAAATACTATGAACATTTTCTTATATCTGCGAAAAAATGTCTTTTGGGCAAGTGGGTTGAGGTGCGTATCACAGAAGTTTCTAAATTTTACATGAAAGCTGTGTTAGTAACGGATGATATCAATGCATGCTTAGACAGTGATCCAATGACTGATATCTCATTTCCAACATACAGCTATTGGATAACCGCTTTTAGTATGATTATTTCAATTCTTATTTTTTGGTTGCTATTGTAATATTGTTTGATTGTCTATCTCTATGTAAAATTTGATTTAAATGAAAGAACTATAAAAATTTCCTTAAATCAACTCAGGACAAACAATTACCAAAGAGGAAAGATTGAGCTTTTTTAAGGACTGATAAATCATAGAGCAGCTGTTTATCATTATTTTCCTTCCGGAGATATTCTCATTTTTGATGCTGGATTACATAGAATAGGAAAACACTGACATTACGGAAAACGAATCACTTAAAAGGAATTGTCAAGAATGCTTTTCGAGGAAAGGATCTCAACTTTATATTGGTTATAAATATGAAATTCAAAAATTCCAAAAAAAAAGAAAATCGCTGAAATATATCGTTCACATAACACTCTTCGTGAAGATCACAACTCCATCATTATATTCACGAGATGCAATTAATTTATAGGCAAAGCATACTTAATCATTAAAATATCCATTGTTTCCAATTATCAAATCAATTATAGTTCAAACGATTTATGTAAAGGTTTAGCATTGACAATAATGTGATCTCTCCTTGTAGGAGTCATATATCAGATGACTAAAGAGGTCAAGGGTTATTGAAGGCTCTACCGACATCACCAGAGATATTTACGATGCAATAAAATCAGTAATTGATTCACAGGGAGATGCTTAGACTGCTTTTTTATTCTTATGTCATTTACCCAAAGTAAATCAATCACGGAATCGATGAAAAGTTCATTCTAAATATCGGATCAAAATTAAAAGTTTGGTTTTCTACATAGTCTTGCCGGAATACTCAATAGTTGTATTACTGTATATAATCTAGACGGTATCTTCGTCCAATCCTTATTCGCTTCTTTATCAATCATACAGGGAAGGCAATTAACACTGACGAACATTCTTATCGATCTCTAACAATCTCATCATTTCTCAATCAAGCCGTATAATGACATGCAAAGGACCGGACTTTTCGACAGCAACAATTTCAACTTCCAATTATGACAACTACGGTACTTTTTCATAGAGGTCTTAGTTAGGGCTGTATAAAATAGGGTTTTTATAGTCCTGAATGTTGCAAGGATATATGAAGTAGGTGTGTTTCATTGAACTGTAAGAAACTGTATGGGTTACCTGGGAGTTTATCTTTTCTTTAATTTTCTAATTTATGTTAAAATGATAATTTATACGTGTGTGATATTTTTAAAGAAATTTCTTAGATAGAGTGGTTAAATGAATTAAATAATCTATAGATGATTGATCTCGAAGCTCTGTTTTAACAGTTTCTTTTTAGTTTCAGCTTTAATTTACAATAGCTGGAAAGTTGTGCTTTCATTTAGTCATTGTTTTTGTAGGATCATCTGATTATTTGTCCAAATTTAAGAATTGATTGAAATAAAATAGCAAAAAAGTTGTTAAGGGTTTTATTTTCAAGCTTTGCATAAAAGTGAGATAAGGTACCAGAAAAGCAGATGTAGAGGAAATAGCAAATAAAACGCTGATAAAGAACGGTTAGCTTTTTATAAGGTGTGGTAATCTGCTTATTTCCTAAACTCCATTTTTTTTTCGGCGTTGTTCTCTGTGGTATGGCTGCGGTACTCTTTTCATCTGCTTAGATCATTCACATGGCTTTCTTTCACATTTAAATTATTTCCTGCAGATTTTCCGCTCTGTTACGAAATGTAACAGAATGAAAATGTAACTAATTTCGAAAATCGATATGGTAAAACTATTATTTAAAGTTGAATTTGAAATCTTTCAATCTATAAATTTTATTCAATTTTTAGTATTCGGTAGCGATGATTTTACTGTAACACCCAATCGGTTGTTTTGGCTAATGCGGAAGAATAATGGAGAGAGAGTGCGAGACGCTGAGGGATTTCGTTTACGAGCTGCTGGGATATGCATCCGTGGTGAAGGTAGCAGTCGGGAGATCTTGTTAATTACCGGTGGCAAAGACGATGGTCGGTGGATCATTCCAGGTGGCGGCATTGAGAAGGATGAAAACGAATCAGATGCCGCATTACGTGAAGTTTTTGAGGAAGCTGGAGTTAAAGCAGAAATTTTGGCACGTGTGGGGGAGTTTAGGGTTAGTACCTTTCTTATTTCCATGCAATTTGAAGTTCTTATTAATTAGAGTTTTGGATGGCGAGGTGCCTTAGCATATACGCCTTCAAAATTTGGATTTCTTATTCATAAAAAAAAAATGCATATAGATGAAATAAAAAATAATTAAAGTAGATGGATAAGCGAGATAAGTTCTCATATTGCCCTAAGTATGAGATGAATCTTTGGATGGTATAACCATTGTCTGATATGACTTTCTCTTCCGCACACTTATTTCATATGTAGTGCATATTAGTATTGGTCGCCTTATGATTGATCAAGTTTTGAAGTGTAGAAAGGAATTAGTAAAGAAGGATACTGGTTAGAGAAAATTAATGGACCATCGGTTTTTATTCATAGCTATCGTATTTAGACTAAAAAAAATAATGAACTTTTAAATTGCAGCTGTGACTTTTAAATTTAGGATGAAGAAAGACGGCACCGGACGGTGGTGTTTCTTTTAACAGTTAAGGAAGAATTAAAGGAATGGGAAGATGGCTGTTTTGGGCGACAGCGGGAATGGGTAAGCCTAGAAGAAGCACTGCGACGGGTGAAACATTCGCAAACATGTATTATTGAACACATTTGTAGAATGTAGCTCAAATTAACTTTCTTGTGTTTATCCGTTCTTATCTTCTGTTTATTGCGGGAAGATATGGAAATTGCATTGTCAATAAAGCATCAACTTAATTTTAATTACATATTTTTTGAGGGTCTTAAATTTTTTCAAATTTAAATTCTACATTGAGATTGAATTTTGAAGTTATTTTCGTGTATTATATTTTAAGCGTGTCTCTTTTTGTTAGTAGTTACGATTTTATCGTGTTTTTGGTTTACTGTTACAGTCCATCTAAACCGTTATTTTTATTAGGCTTCATTCTCCGCTATCGAAAATCTCACCACTCGATTTGAATAAATTGTTGAATGGAGCGGGAGGGAACATCTCGCTACTTGTATTTCATATCGGTGCGTTCATTACACTTCAATTGAGAGCTTCACTAATCAAAGATGTTTAGTTTCCTGCTTATTAATTTTATTTGATTCTCCTTTACTGTGTGCTGCTATCAATAAATTCATTTTCATTCATATGATTACTTTCTATTCGGCCCACGTAATATTATTTTCCTTGATCTTAATTCTTTTCCTTTATTTTGGTGGGAGAAACTATCGGTGCAAGATATGCTAACTATTACGGAAATAGTAGCAAACAGATGAATAATCCCTAACTGTTAGAATTTTGAATATTACACGGATTCCGCTATTTTTATATGTATAAACATTATGTTCACGTTTTAGCATCAATAAAATAGTTTATTGAAAACAAAAACTGTCAAGGAATTTCGACAACAAATATTGAATGAAAGTAAAATGAACTCAAACTTTTGTTACAGCTGACGTCTGGATGGCATACCTCACACACTGGATGTTGTGGTTAATTACAAAGACAAAACAAGAACAAGCTTCCTCAAAAAGTCAATATTTACAAAAAAGCCAACAAAGTTAAAGATATCACAGATTAAAAAGACCACAAAAATAGAAAAATAAAAGTTTCCATTAACTGAGATCAAACGAAGAGTGATTCCGTGTTAGCACTGTACAAAGCCAACGCACGCAATGCTCAATATTGAGGCCTTGTAATGCGGATATCGGTATGAGGGCTAGATCACCTACATGTCTATCATCTGTTGTAAGAATCCTAATTATTTCTGTTCCGATGCATTCTTCTATGTCACTTTTATTGCAAACCACCAAAACTGGCATTTTCTGGACAGCTTCACTATTCATTACCAGTTCTAAAACTAAGGAATTTAAGAACATTTCAAATTTGCATGAAATTTGAAAGTAATTTTTTAATTTATTGTCTATGCAACTTCACCAGTTAAAAATTTTAATGTTTGCAAATCTTCGCTTGAAATGAGATCATTAAGATATCATTTATAAAACTTACTGAAGGCTTCACCCACTTCCGGAAATCGATCAGGATCACACGAATCAACAACAAATATGAGTGCCTGTGAATCTTCGAAGTATTTGTGCCAAAGTGATTGCAATTCTTCTTGTCCTCCAAGATCCCAAAAACTGAGTCGGAGAGAGCCCATCACAATTGTTCCAACTGCAACAATTGCTATTTAACTATGATAAAAAATAGAGAATATTTCAAACATATATACTTTGTACTTTCTCCGCTTAACATTATGTTTTCAATCATCAACACGTTTGAAAAGCATCACAATAAACTGATACAGAATCAAATATTATCACTTACGATTGTGCAGATCACTAAATGAATAAGATTATACATGTAATGACAATGGGCACAGGATTGCATAAAATGTCTGCTAATAATAGATTTTGTTCTGTTCAGATAAGTAAACTTGTTTAGATATTAAAAAAAAAAAAAGTAAAATCAATAGAAAACAAAGTAACACAAATGTTCTCATCTTTTCGATGTAAACATTTCCCACATTGACTTACCATTTAAACCAACAGTGCTTGTAATCTTCAATGGATTTAACATCTGATAATTCTTAATAAATCTCGATTTGATTTGTTCTAGAAAGGTCTGTAAACAATTTATATCTCGTCCGTCATAAGATAACTTTAGAATAACCTGCTCAGCTCTCTAGCCTCATTGAGTGGAACAAATCATTTTATTCGTAATATCAGAATTAATACAAGAAAAAGTAAAATATTGAAAATGAAGAATACAGATATAATTTTATCCGTTTTTAGCAGCTTGAAAAAAAAAAGACAAAAAAACTTTTTTTTAAAAAAAAATTACGAGTGTTTTAAAAAAGATGGTAAATTTCATCGCAAAAATTTTACAAATTTTAAAGTATTTCACGTAAATATCCTGAAAATCAACAAAAATCTTAAAGTTAAAATTCAAATTTTCAAAAATACCGTTTTTCCAGCATTATCCAATCCAACAATAACAATATAATAATTGCTCCTACGTGTCAAACGTTGCCATATGCCAATTCCAAGTGTATACATATTTCCGCTTCTCTTCTTTTATCCACCGGACATATCCTGAAAATTTTTCAGCAAATTAAATTTGTATATGCAAAAAAAAAAAAAATCTAACTTAATATACGCACTATTATATATCAAATTCAGTATAATTCCCAATCATTTCAAATTCGCTCAATTTACTCTTCGGAAAATTTTGACAGGTCTAACACAATCTCGAATCATTTCAATTTTTTAGCACTATGGGGATTTTAACTAACCACTATGCGAATTTTAATTAAAGCTTTGCTTCTAATTACAAATTCAATCATCACCAATACTCCTACCCGTCATGCGATAGCTCTCAAATGTCAGGATATCGGGAAATTGCACACCGATGAAATCAACAATGTTCTTTAATAACAGTGATGGATAATCGTAGTTGTAAACTATTTTGATTCTCTCACAACGAAATTTTGAATATGTATGACCGAGAGTGGAAAGAGAGAGAATGAGAGAAGAGGAAGAGAGGGAGATTGGGAGAGAGAGAGGGAGAGAGAGAGAGAGGAAGAGGGAGAGAGAAGAAGATGGAGGGTAAATAAATATATTCATGCAGCGGAAAGGACAGGCGGACTTGTTGGATGAAGATAACCGTGACAGGAATGCGTGAAATTAGGTTTAGTAATATATTTGAAATTACAATTTATGAGGAAATTTTTGTAACATTTGTCTCTTTTTTCTTATGTGTTAAGTAAGACATCAGGAAGATAATATTACGTTAAACGGTGAGAATTATGGAATTAAGGTGACAATTATCTTCCTTCATTCCCTTTTTCTCTCTTCCCTTCTCCTTCTTTTTCTCTTTACAAATGTCAGTTTGTGGCATGATTTATATTCTTTTTTTTTTTTTTACATCAAAGTATTGTATTTTGTATATGTTTAGAATTAAATATTTAATTCTATATTGTGTATAGTACAGTAAATTTAATTTATCAACATTTGTACAGCTTAAAAGGAGCAATGAGACTTTGCTGAATTAATCTGTCATTTTCCAATGTCAATATTTTTAATTAATAAGAGGGAAAGACAGGAGGAGGAGGAGGAGGAGGAGGAGGAGGAGGAGGAGGAGGAGGAGGAGGAGGAGGAGGAGGAGAAAGAGGAGAGGAGAGGAGAGGAGAGGAGAGGAGGAGGAAGAGGAGGAGAGAGAGAGAGAAATAATTTATCAATCCGATCGTATGCATCTTATTATTGTTAAAGGCAACAAATTGAATAATTCTTTTTAACATTTTCATATTCTAATCTGATAAAAGAGAGAAAGAAAGGGAAAAAAAATTTTTTTCTAAATTCATCATTCAACGACAATAACACTAACGAGTGATGAGATTACGGAAAGTTCCGTGATTGATTAACCGATTGGAAACATGTTCCTTGCATCTCTGTTTCTCTTAAAATGCAATTCCGTTGTTAACATATGGTTGTTTTTGAAATTTTAGACTTGAATTGTAAAAGCAGCGAAAACGTGAGATGTCGGACGGTCTTGTGCAACGACGTAAAACAGCTTCGGCATCTATCAAAAATGATGAGGTATATCAAATTGATTGATTTTTTACATTTGTAATTTAGAAAAATTTTTTTCATGCAATCGTTAACAAACGATTGAATGAGTTGAGCATTTTAATGTCAGGAAATTATATGATTTTTTTTTTTTTTAAAATTCCTTCGCCTTCTTTTAATAATAGTAAAATGATTGCTACTTTTTCCAGAATGCAAAAGACATTGATAATATTGATAGTGATGATTCTAAAGGAGAGTATTACGATGACAAAGCTACAAGACTGACGTTAATGGAACAAATCTTATTGCTTGGGTTGAAGGATAGAGAAGTTGGCTTTTTTCTAATGTAATTCGAAATAAACTGTGCGTGGAATTTTTACGACCTATTTCCAAAAATTACCACTTAAGGAAACCCAGTAAACGGATGTTTCAAATGGTTTTGTACTGTTGACTTGCAAATTTTGTTTATCTATCTTCGAAATGAAGTACATATCAAGCTGTGACCATTGTAAAAATTTTATTGTTATTCAGGGTTATACATCATTTTGGAATGACTGTATTAGTAGCGGTCTTCGTGGATGCATTCTCACTGAATTGGCACTGAGAAACCGGATTGAATTAGAAAAATCTGGAATGCGAAAGAAGAGTTTGATGAGCAGAAAGGTCTACATCTATCATATATATTCAAATTTTATATCACCACTGTATCTAAGATAAAATTTACTAGGAACAGAACGTAAAATAGTAAAAGCAAACAAAAAAT